TATTTTTGCACTAATTACTATAAATATTAAAATCCAGTGGAACAGAAGACAGCTCTCTAATAGTGGCATGAAAATAACAGGATACGTAGAGAGAAAAGAATATACTTATACTCCAAGTTATAATATAACAGTTATGGATGTTTTACAGTTCATTGCAGGGCATTTCTGGTGTTCAGGAATGGAAGCAATTCTCAGAGTATCTCCCCAGCAGCTGGTGGTGGTGGCCCAGCCCTTCATAGCTGGAGTTGCTCAGTGCTGATAAAGTAAGTGAGGAATCTCAGGTCATGGCTGCTAGATGCCTGTAGGTGCACAGAGGGGTCTGTACTCTTAGCTCTCCTCGGTGCTGGAGTGCCCTGCAGTGGCTAAAGAAGGCACCTGCTCCTGCCCTTTGTGCTGGAGATGTGACTTTGCAGGAGTTGGCTGCATGAGCTCCTGTGACAGGAGAGAAAAGGGAGCAGTGCTGCCCTCACAGCACCTGGGCAGGACTAGCAGAGGCTGCTGCACGGGGCCTGTGAGTGCAGCAGGAGCTGGAGCAGCTCTCAGCAGCTGTTCCTGGCACCAAAGCCATGGAGGGGCTCAGACAGCTGCTGAAGGGGTTACAGCACCCCTGCCTTGAAAAAGGAGGGGGAAGCTGAGCAGCAGAGAGCCTCCAGGTTCTCTTCCTGAGTTAGTTGCCAAGTCCTGTTCCAGTGCATTTTTCATCCCCAGAGCAGCCAGTCACTTGCAGAAATATCTACTTTTGCTGTTGCCCAGTTAGGCCAAATAGTATTGCCCTGTGGCCAGATTTGGCTATCACACTGTCACATGGACCACAACAACCTGAGGTGTCTTTGCTAAAAGAATTTTTATTTCATATCCAGTTTTCTATTCTCAGCTCCCATCCTTGAGACTATTCTTACTGTTGCCAACAAAAATGTACAGAGAGGCAGCCAATCAAAATTTTTCCCTTTTTGTGCCTCATTCAAGGCTTACAGATAGGGGCAAGGCAACCAGTTTGTCTCTGCAAATTGTCCCAGTTGATGTTTGTCTGTTTTAATTTACTGACATTTCTGTTTTCTATCAAATAATAGGACAGCATAGTTCAAGGTTACTGTGTCCTACCTGTATCTTAAGTACATGCTGAAGATGAAACAGTTTTGAAACAGCACAGGAACACTATGAAATCAGTGATCTCCATTGTCTGGAACCTAGTCCTCAGCTTGGGGACAAGGACTGTGTTAACCACTTGAGCTGCAGTAGCCCTAGCTCTGGAGGGAAGACAGGTAGTAGATGAGCACTCTAATCACAAAGCATTTCTGAGCTGTAGCACTATCCTTACAAAAGAACTGTCAGAAAATGGAATTACTGTATTTTTTCTTGAATCCTACCATTAATTTTTAGATACAAATCTGCAAAGATGAGGAAGGAAGGTGACTAAAGTTGGCAGGTGAATTTACTGTCATAGGGGATTTTTCAGATTTAGCAATACATGATTGGAATTATTCCATTTGCTTTTCAGGCTTTCCATCTATGCCATTAAATGGAGTTTTCTAAACCAGACAGCACAGGGGTGAAGTGCATTTCACTTGTGTTGAATGATCCTCATCCCCAAACAAGGGGACATTATTGAAGAGAGTGGTTAAAGAAAACAGATAGATATGCATGAGTGAAAGGCGGGGGGCGATTTTTGCTTATTTAGGGGAGTTTCACTGGTGTAAAAGGAGCAAGAAGGTATAAAAGCATCTGGGAGAGTGATGAAAGCTGTGAGAGCAAATGGCAGGTCAGTAGGGATGAGGAAGTCAAACAGGAATGGTGGATTGAGTCAGCAGGGCATGAGAATTACTGAGCTTTGCCTAAGGGGAGGATCACGAAGCTCTGTAATTAGAACTATCTCAAGGCAAAAGTACTTCCTGAGGTTTTACCCATGCCCTCCTTCCCAAAATAAAAAACCATTTGGTACCTTTTCCTATGAGGTTTAGAACTACCTCCTTGGAAAACAGTTTTGTTTATGGAAAAACAATCAGAATGCTTAGGATTTTCCTTGAGAGTGATTTTTAATGGGAACACATCTGTTCTGCTGGAAACTGCTGAAGTAGGATTTCACCACTTTTATTATTCTAACTAAATTAGTGGTTGCTTTCCTCTCCTCCTGTAATTTATTTCTCCTGTTTATTATTTCCTATTGCCTTTTACTTGCAGACTGATCTTTCAAGCACTTCCAGCTGAAGCTGTAATTTACTTCATGTGCATACAGTATTATTTCAGGCACTCCTGAAAATACTCTTTCAAGGCCATGATTTGGAAGTGACTTTGCATAGGTACTGAATTGGCAGTGTAGTTAGGGACTAACTTATGTTGCTAATTGCAGCTTCATAGTTACTGCCACACTTTTTTCCCTTAGGTAAGGGGATATTAAGCTTGTTATACTGTGTAGATTTACACACTGCAGACCAAGCAAGTCTTGCTGTCAGTTGTTTCAAGCTACATACATTCTTTATGTATGTAATGGCATGAACATAAAAGCTGTCAAGTGTGCTTATGGGTATGCATTTTATTGCATTATAGATGATCCCTGGCACTCCCCTGTGGCACTAGTAGATTTCTCCAAATCTAAACCAGAGGACAAGGTAAAAGTCATGTACAACTTAGACATAAGGAGCTGGTTATGAGCAGGTAATATAGAGTAGTTTGAATGTCCTAGTCTTGCTCCCTTAACCTGTTCAGGTTATTGTGTCAAGACAATTTACTATCTAACAGTAAAGTAGTATTTCAGAGTAAAGAAACATTTCATCCCTTGCAGTCCTGTCAGATTTCATCTTTATATGGATCTAAACCCAGAGCTGACAATGCTGGAACAGCTGAAGCTCCCTATGAAGCTCTAATTTCTGTACATTGACATAAAGAAGTAAATTTGACTTTGTCTATGTTTAAGGTGTACAGAGTTTGGCATAAGCCAATGGAGAAAACAGTTACGATATAGTCTTGTTATTTCAGAAATAATTCACATTAAAAAAAACCTTCCACTGCACAGTGAATTCAGTACAGATATTGTCTAGTCTAACAGCAAGAGCTGTATTTTATGTTCTTTCTCTTGCTCAATTCTTGCAAGTGAATTAGACTCCAAAGTTTTTCTTTTTAATCAAGCACTAAGTTGACTCCCCCACACACACACACAGTGGTATCTAAGTTGTCATGACAAGAGTAAGTCAGTGTGTCATTGTGAATGCACTTGTATTCCTAATGAAGTTTATATTGCAAGTCAAGGATTTTGTACAATCTTTCCAGTCATTTTTATAATAGAGTGCAGTGGTCACATTCTTATGATGATGTTCTGGATTGGTCCTGTTCTGGTGAAGTGTAAGTGATTTTTGCAATGTTTGAGACTGACTTGCACATTTTCCCTGAATAGCTGTGTTAAAAACCACCAATGGCATATTTCTGTCAGCTCTGATTGTTGTGTCTTGGAAACATGGATAGTAACCCTATTGTGCCAGGGCTCCAGTCAGCATTTTGTAGATTAAATAAAAGCTTAACTGTAATAACTTTCTGGGTGGGACTTGTACTGATGCAAAAGCCTCCTGCATTTTTCAGAATACTGACTTTCAGGAAGTACCTTTGTTGGTGACAGGATGTGTTCCCTTCCACTAAACCAAGCTCTAACATGCTGTATATCCCTCTGCTGGCAAAATGTAGCTCAGTTCTCTTCATTTTACTAGTATTAGCCAGATAACCTCAGAGGAAGTTGTTATGCTTGGGAGTGCTGATAACTTATTTTTGCACCAATCCAAGCCTGCCCCTGAGGAGCTGTGGCAGCTGTTGTGCCTGTGCTGGTGCAGTCACACGTGACAGTGCAGCACTCAGCAGAGCCACAGTGACCCTAACAACCCCAACCCACGTGTACAGCCACTCATGTGGGCACTGAGCAGATCTTCACAGGCTTCCTTAGCTTATTCTACGAGAAACACCCTGTAAAAAGCCATGGGGCATAACTACATTACAGTTAAATTTGTATTTTGTAAGGTTTGTAGATTTTTCTGGGGACAAGCAGACTTTTGAATTCTGTAATTTCCGTGATAAAGATGCATGTATAACTAGGGAAAAATCTATGCTTACTTGATCATGAAGGAATAAATACTACTAATGCCAAATGTGTTGATGAACTTTTTTTTCCAGTATTTTTACAGAAACAGCTGTACTTTAGGTCTTCCTAAGACTTCTGTAAGACTTCTTAAACCAAGAGTTCTCCAAAAGCTTAAGCTCCAAGTATAGGGAGAGAAACTTCAAAAATTGCAAGCATGGCTTTGGACAGCACTGTGAGTGAAAGGAAAAGAGTTCTAGAGAGAGTAATCAGAAGCCTTGGTGAATGAGAAGTACCAGTACCTGAGAATGAGCTGCAGAACTTACACGTGTTTCAGCAGTGCTGCCTTGTTGAAACATTGGTATTTCACATAAGCTGCTGGGATAAGCTGAGGTTTCTCTAGCTTAATCCCATTTCATTGCCTAGAATGTGGGATTGCTTAATGGGGTGAAAAAAAATAGTTAAGCTGCTCTTCAGAACTTCACAGTAGGACTTCACACATAAAAAACTACTTCTTGTCAAGATAAGGGAAAGTACAAGAGAAAAAAGAATTAGATCCCTTCCTGGTTTTAGTTAAATCCCTGCCCTTTACCTAAAGCCTGAGTTTCACCCTGCACTGGGGGCAGTTAACCTGATATGACAGGCTTTGGCTTTAACTGGGCACTAACATGAGGTTTGCAGCCCTGCATGTCACATCCTTAACCTGTCTGACAGGCATTGAAAATGCTGTTGTCATAACTTTCTGATAGTTCAGATGCCAGGAGTTCCATAAAATGGGATCACCAATACTTACATTGTGGGTTTCTCCCCCTTTTCTTCAGGGGCTGAGGGGAGAATGTTGGCATTCCTTAATACACATAGGAGATAAAAGTCCTAAAGGGAAAAGCAGCTGCACAACAGTGTTACCCACGTTAACATTCCCTTCCAAATATAGGACTAATAATTATGTACAGTTGAGGTTGTAGATTCCTGTGAAGTTTTCCTGTCCATAAAGATCATACTCCTTGTACAATATGTAGTCTTTCAGGCAGTTTGGCAGTGGAAGGAAGGTCATGAAGACAGGACAGCGGAGACGCAACCGGCCCATGCATTCCCGTATGGTCAGACGACAGAGATGCTTCAGGGAACGAGGATTTGCTAGCAATGAGAATGAAGATTACAATACTACCACTGAAAAAGGTCCCAGTCCCAAAGCAGCTTGGTTTCATTTCAAAGGTAAACAGGTACTTACTTAAAATCAATTTGATATCTGGCCAGAGTTCCTGTTCCTTGAGAACTGCCTCGAGCTTCCAGCAGATCTTAACGTGGTCGACGTAATCTAACATTACTCTCACTACCTTCCCAGACACATGCTTCAACCATGACAAGGTTATCACTTCACAGAACTGGGAGAAACAAAATGTTTAACAGGATGATATTCAATACTGCTGTAAATGTCTGGAGCAATTGAATAACATGGGTAGACTCCAAGGAAAGAACATTCTGTCAAATGGTTTTAGAGGTGGTCACAGCTTGTGTTAAGCTGACAGATGTTTATTTTGTTACTAGATCCAAAAATGAAGTTAAGCAGCTGGACATCTTGTAATTAAGTGCTTAAAAAGGAAGTGCTACCGCTCTAAGTGGAATTCAGACTTGTGTCTAAGTATGCTGAACTGGTGGATCCACCAGCCCAGTGCATGCCTTGCCCCTTATCTTCAGGTTAAGGAAGGGTTTATTGGGTTCAAATGGACTTTACAAACTGCAAAACAATGACACTGATGGGTGTCTCTAGGAACCTCTTTAGATTGGCCCAGGTTTGTTAATTCTGCTCAGCACTTAAGCCTGCCAGCTCTGGGGGTCCTTACAACAGCTTTCCAGTCACGGGTGGTGGGGGGCAGGACAAGGCAGTGGTCTAGCCTGCAAGTCCCTGCTGTCACAGCATGGGCAAGGCTGCACTGGAGAGCTAACAGCATAACAGCTGTATTGTCACAATTCAAAAGTACCATTTACAGTCATTTGCTGTCATGACCCAGGCCTCATGGCAACATCTGGTTATTGTTAAAGCCTTGTCTAGTCCTGTCTTTATGTGTAAGCTGTCTTACAGTTTCAAAACTTCCTTTCCTGACACAGCATTAAGTACCTTTACTTTTGGGAAGGACACTGGTAGTAGAACAACATGAGAAGCATGTGCTATACTTACCATTGTGTCCTTGATAACAGTAGAGGTCCACCCATCGGTCACGTACTGGGAATGGGAGTGGTTTCCCCCAGGGCAGTCGAAGCAGCGATGCACATCGTAGCCATAGTTCAGCAGCATCCTTAGCATGACTTCATCTTTCAGGGCATACTGCAGAGCTGATGGGAAATGTGTTGTATTCACTCTGCAGAAGTAATTGACATTAGCCCCATGTCGGAGCAGCAGATTCATTAGCTCATAGTTGCCCATTCTCAAGGCTATCTGGAGACAGTTGATGGGATCTTGGTTTGTCAGGGCTCCTGCATCCAGCAGCAGCTGTGTTGAGCAGGTGTCCCCGTTGGAAACAGCAAAGTACAGCGCTGATTTCCGGTGGTCGTCGTAGCCTTTGCGAACCCTCTGATCCAGCATAAAATTGGCATCAAACCCAGACTTGAGGAGAAACTCAAGGCACTGAGGATGTGCTCCTGCTGCTGCTGAGTGAACTGGACTTATCCCACTTTCTTTGATGGCATCAAAATTAGTAACTGGAACTAAATATTTCAGGGCTCTGAAAAATTAAAAAGTAAGAATTTCAGAGTCTTAAACATATTGATTAGTTCACCTAACTGAATCTTAGAATTCATGTTGTTGGGCTTCAGAATTCATGATGACTGTAAAAATTGTCTTAACCTACCAGATCAGTACCATGGCATTGACTGGAATTGCTAACAAGGGAATTGTTAGCCAGCAATGGATACTGACTTTACATCTACCACACATAAAATGTTATGGTATTATACAGTTATTCATTAACAAGCTCATTCCTTTCTAGAGGAATAATTATTCCTTCTCAATAGAAGTTTTCCCTGTATGCCAAGAGCACAGTGTTACTGCTTAACCTGTAGGAATTAATATGCTATAACATGAATATGCATAATCTATAATGTAATACACACATTTCAGTTTAAATATAAAATATTAACATGGGAATTAGGAATGCTCAGATTCTTGTTTCTCACTTATCAGTTATGATTTTAGTATAAATATCTTCCAGTAACCTTACTGTCTTTTAAAGAGGAATAATCTTTATCCCCCTAAGTCTGTTTGCTTCTGTGCTGGGGTGAGATGAGACATTCACTCAGAGAGAGTGAGGGCGTCCCAAGAACCTCAACCTAAGACCAGAAAATGTTACTATTTGTGACAAAAGGGAAAATACTACAGGAATTAGGATGTTCATCCTACAACAATGAAGATTTTATCCTGACTGGTCATTCAGACATAGAAAAGTCATATTTACATGGTCAAAAAGAATTCCTTGTACAAAACTACAGATTTGCTGCCTGCTTTAAGTAAGGTAGAATTAGCAAAATTAGTATTTCTGTATTACTTGATTTTTAAGTATATTAACTCACAGAAAGTGTCCTCTATATGCAGCTCTGTGGATTGGCAAATGACCCGAGTGCTTTGGTACATTGGCATCAGCCCCATATTCTAGTAAAAGACTCACAGAATCTGGATTTCCTCCTCCTGCTGCTTCAAATAATACAGAAGCACAATCCATTGCCTGTGAAAGAACATCTGCACCTGTAAAGAAGCATCAAGGATTTTCATGGTAGTCACTGTAAATATCCAGCAGTAATTAGCATCTCCAACCCTCCAGTGATGTGGTATTGTGAATTCTATTCTTCACCAAATAAAACCACCATGGGCACAAACCCTTCGTGCTGGATCCTTGACTTTGGATGTATTTATGGAGTCAAGAAGATCCAAATTGCTCTGAATACAATTACAGAGGAAGAATTGCTGCTAGAGCTGAGCCAGCAAAGGGTTTGGTTCTTCCTCATCCAAACAATTGCTTTTTGGCTTACATAAAATGCATTTCAATTCTTTCACTTTAGAAAGACCAGACAGATCTAACTGTAAATATGAGAGAACCAAGTATCCAAACAGTTCATGCAATCCAGTTCCAGTGCTGCTGAA